CCACCAAATATTTACAACAACCATAATTACTTTTATCATGATGGTCAAAAAGAGAACTTAAATACTGCAAATGAAAAGATAATTATTGAAAAAAAGAACGAAAGAAAGTGACAATTGAAATACTGTGACCACATTAAAAGACATAATACACTTTTAAAAACAATACTGGAGAGATAGGTTGAAGATAGGAGAGCAAGAGGTAGGCAAAAATACACGTGAGAGGACAACATCAATAGATGGACTGGCAGCGGTCTGAGAGAGTGTACTACCAGGACAAGAGACAGAGAGTGTTGAAGATCCATTGCAGCCTGACTTTACTGTGAAGGCGGCACCTCATCAAAAAGAGAACCTGACAGACGACAGGGAGGCAAGCAGTATGCATATAAGGTAGCTGAAAGGGTGTAGAAAACGGCTCAGTGCAAGAAGACGGTGGGGAGATAATAAAGTGTGTAATTGTCAAAGGACACGTGGTAATTGGACATCAGTCCAAGATAGGTAATAAGGCGAATCTTATAAAAGCTTCTCAACTGATTCCCACCAAAGGTGTGTCAGCTCTGCTCAAAGATGTCTTTTGTTACTGCGGCTTTTGACTGGCTGTCATCTGCATTAGTCTCAACACGAGAGAAAGAATCACTATTAAACTTCGCTCTGCATTTAAGGCAGTTTCCCGACATTTATGTTCAAAGTGTATACAGGTCAGTTAACTGTGCCACATTTGACTACGGACTATCTTTTGGGTGAAAGGAGAAGCCCGATTTCAAAAGATGCGCTAATTCAAATGTTGAGTCGTATTATTGTATAGTCAATACCTTAACATGTTTGTTATATTAGCTTCTGTAACATAAAACTATGCGACGAAAAAATATAAAACCGAACGAAAAAAAGACTATAGACGAATTTCCATCATTTTATTCATGACGTGAAGTTATTCCTACAAGCTATAATTGTAAATTTACAAATTGTAATTATTTATTTGTGAATTTACACGAGAGTAACTATTTGTATGATAAGGAAATGGCTCAAAAAGCTTACTTGACGACAATTTTGTATTTGCAGATTGACAGTTAAAATAACTGCAAACGATTCGTAAGAATAGTGTTATGTATTCAATTTTATCATTCTTGTGTATGTTTTCAGACTTGTCATTTATTGCTAAGAAGGAACCTACTAAATGGTGCACTTTAGATGTTTCAGAAACTCTCAAATATACCTAATTATTACGTTTATTGTCACCAGTTTTACAAATGTATGGTATACAGATGTATCTTATCTGTTCTGACATACTTCACTTTGAAGCCGACTATATATTTAAGCAAACAGTTCATGTGTACCCAAACCCAACGTCATAATATCTTGTCCTATGACTTAAATTATGGAGAAAAATAAATGAACTTTACATATGCTGACGTTTATGTAGCCTACTGTTTGACTAGCAATTACATCTGCGAGTATTACACACAACAGTTAACTAAAAACTCAAAGTGTCAACAATAAAATGACAGAAAGATTAAGTTTTTTAAATACATAACATCTCCGACAACGTCTATACTTAAATTCACAAACACATTTATCCTCGATTGTATAGACTTTAGTAGGCTTTTGACAATGAGAAACTAATTACATGCTTTCGAGCTATCAGGTTGGATGGGACCTGTGTTGTGTGTGATGCAGCTTATGCATGGAGCAAAAAACAAAAATTAGACAAAACCATTTTTTTTTCTTTTTACAAATGGAGACAACATATTAGAACAAAATAAATATCGAGATGTTGTTCTTAAATCGTTCCTAATCATATTATGTATTTTTAAAGACGGTAGAAAGTAAAGAGACTAGATACCGTCTTTATGAGCATCATCATCAGTATCATTTTAAACAGACGGGCGGCACTTAGATGCGGTTGTTGGTCCTCAGAACGGATAATCCATTTGTTCTAAATTGCCTCAAAATAGTGGTCGCTGCCTCCAATTCTACTCAACTAAGTAACAGTTCAATTAAAGTGGCAGTATTCTGTCATTTAATCATGACCTCTAGGTGGACAAACATGGGGAAAAAACGTCATGATATTGCCAATGCAGTGCAGAGCGAATATAAATGTTATTCTCTCTTGTGTTTTGAGTCTAATTCATATGTCAACCCTTCAAAAGCTTAGTAACGTTGTTCTTCCGGAATACATCCTCCAGCAGAGCAAACATACCAGTGGTGGGAATGGGTAAAGAAACTATGACAAGCTCAGCGTTTTTACCCATCTGTAAGTGATGTCTGATTGCGATCTAGCATACTGACGATGGGTTGATAAACACCCAGAAAGGCCTGTCAACAGTGAAGATCTTAGGAACCATTTACATTGCCTAGATATGCAGCGAAGAATGTATAAGGATTGTAACTTCTACTCTGTCTTCAGGCTTGATAGTAGTTGTAGGCCGTTCCTGAGGTTCACCCAGCCTCTAGAAAATGAGTACTAAAGTTACCACTCTGGAGCGTCGCTGTAGCTGATGGCGACACAGGCCGACCGTTTCTATTCAGCTGTCCGTACTGGTGGCAGAGCACTCATGATTTATAACCGTATGCAATGCCCCTGGTTTACATCTTCCGACATTACCTTTATATACTTGTCACTTTAGGTGAGGCAGATGTGCTAATATACAAAAATTGGCCCTTTGTAGGTAGACTTAAACATGTGGGTGGAATCACGTGGTTTTTCAAGTGTGTCTATGTGTGAGTGTGTGTGTATGTGTGTGTTAACTTGTTCTATGCGCACGATTGTGCAAGTCGAGGCAGGCACTGTACGCAAGCAGTGAAGCAGTGGACTGAAGTCAGCATGTGGAAAGATAAAAAAAAAAGATCACCTATCACGGAGATAAATGGAGTTAAAGAACTTAAATGTCTGAAGAAGAATAGGCAATCTAAACCATGTATCTATTTTCGATTTTTATAATCACATAGAGGTCAAACAAGAACGTATCCGCCTGAAGGGAAAACAAAAAGCGACGATGATGTCGATTTCATTATACAGTGTCTTCTTAAGCTACAAATTAACATACTTATTAAACATAACAGCTGATAATATTGTTATACTACGTGGTAATTTAGGTGCAGTCACTGCAATTTAACTAGTTAATTCACGTTTCCTCATTGATAATTGCGTCATTAATGACATGTTAAAAAAAAAAAAAAAAATATGAATTAGACCAGGTAGGAAACATACTTGTGTGCAAGATTGTAATGCGTGATTAAGTAATAATTATTACTTTCGGACAATTATACACTTCTGCATGGGGTATATAAGTGAAGAGATACATACTCTCGAATTTAACAAGCAGTCTTAGTAACTAATTTACAATAATATGTTATCAAGGAATACATTACGTTTACTTAATAGAATATATTCTTAGGTCTTGCACGTTAAACATGACTATGGTAACCAAAAGTATGTCTCAGTATTTTCAACAGCACATTGTATAGCACATATATTTGCAACATTTGAACTTGATATCACATAAGGATATCAAAGGCAATGTTATTATGGTGAACCCGTGGCATATTTCCTGAAAACAAATTATTTCTACCTTTAAAAATAATTAACAGACAAGCCTAGCGGCACAAGCAGATTTTGACAAAAGAAGAAGAATAGACAAGTAATGAAAATAAACATATTCTAACATTCTAAATTATAAATTAAACTTTTTGTGTGTGAAGGAATATTTCTGAATTTTTTTTTCCGGAAAATTTGAGCTCAATAACTTGAATGGAAATACTAGAAGGAAATACTGCACAAATCAGACGCAATGCTTTTACACGACAGACACATAGACAAATAAAATAGAAATTTTAAGCTTAAAAAAAATATTCAACTCCAAGCCTTAATATTAATTTAAGGGAAACGTTTTGTGGCGCAAATGACATTTTTATTGATATTTTTATGCAGGTAAGAAACCTATTTAAGAATATTTATTGTATAGATTGTCTCATTATGGAAGCCGCCGTGGTGTAGCGGCTAGACGCTCTTTTGCTGTCATAGGTCCAGGTCCTGACAAAACCGCCCTTTTTTTTCTTCAAAAATCGAATTTGACTCTCCTGTCGACCCAGGCCTAAACAGGTACCCGATAAGGTACTGGGAGGTAAAGGAGGCTGACGTGATGCTGATTACACCATCCACCAAGATACCTGGTATATAAAATATATGTTTCACCCTATATACCCAATACGCTTGAAGTTGTGGAAAATGGTCCACATGTCTCTTTATGTTGACCAATAATGTAAAATTTTGCCATGAATCCGATCAATCTATGCGCGTGTGGCTTAGGACAAGGATATTGTTAAAAGGAAATCGTAAGATTGACTTTCCCTGAAAAGTTTAATACTAGTTCCGAACATTAGAAACAAGTACGGAACCTTGTGCGAAGCGATATGTACCAGACACACGACTGACGATGACAGTGTAATTTGGGAAAAACGGAACTTCTCAATCAACGCTCACACCGTTGCTGGGGCCATTAAAAGTTAATGATAAATTGATATCGCAGATTATGCTCGTTGGATCAAATAGCCCGACTTGCGTTAGAAATTTGACTCATTCATATTTAGGCATTCTCGGACCTGTAATGATCAGCCAGTGTTCTGTATTCATTTATCAAATTTTGCTATCCCTCAAATTAATGCCTTATTTTTTAAATTTTTCTTTCCAGTATTTTCCCGTTTTATGTGTATGTTTCGTTTCAAAATAGCTTTTATTGACCCACGCCCCCCCCCCCCCCCCCTCCGCTTTTCCCCTAAGTCACAAAATCAGTTCTTTGTTACGTTTATTTCTTTTCGTTTGTTTATCACTCTCGTTGATTTATTACATTAAAAAAAGTTTCATTATATTTAAATGTTCCGTATTTACTTTCTATCTTTACACCGCATAGTCATATTGTTAGTGTAGTGATAATTTACTTTCAAAAGTATGCACCTGAAACATTTAAACATATGAACATTTCTAACTGCAAGATAAATCAACGACAATGTATTTCGCAACGACACTCATGACAACTGCAAACATAGACAATTTATTTAACGAATCAGTTTACCATTTACCGGATGTCTGTTTGAGCCACCACAAGTTAATTAGTGACGAATGGTTGCACATTTGCTTTTGGCTTGTTTTTGCTGTCTTATGTCAGCTGATTGATATTTTTGGTACAATAACAAATGTAGTCAACATTATCTGCTTTGTAAAGCAAGGATTCAAGGACCCTGTTAACGTTAGTCTGTTAGGTAAGCATACATTTATTTTACTACACGTTGTCGATTCGAGTGTGGCTATAAATAACAATTAATTTCATTTTATCAATCTGGGTTGTGATATACATCTACTTGCTGCAACGAGATACGAAGACATGTGATATTCTATATTTCTGTAGTATTGTCTAACTTGTGTATGTGAGGAAGAAGGGTCCATAGCCGAAAAGATCACGTTTTGTTTGTGTGTGTTATATTGTGAAGCTCGATGACAATCTTTTGTTCGGTTTTATAGCTTTTCCTGAGATTAAAAACTTTGAGAGATTTAGGGAAGATAGCATTGGCGGTAAATGTAGCCTAATGCACACACTTCAACTGCAATATAAAGTGTTAGGCGCATAATTTCTCATAATTTTTTTTTTTAATCCGTGCCGGTACACAACCTATAGTGTCTTTGAATAGGTACCGGTGCTTATAACATTTTTTGTGGGGTAATAGTTAGCCCTGAAAATATGATGCTCAAGTAAACCATAACAAGGTAGATCTTGTTAGGTCTGAACATATTCAAGGTGACGGCATTGTATAAATTTGCCAGACCCTCGTCCATCCAATTTTGTAGCAGACATCTCTACACAGTTCCGGACATGTTATGGTACATTTTAGTGGGAAGATATGTATACAATGGCATTCGGTGTAGTAACCTAATCCGTTCCTGATCCTTCGACGTATACCAAACAAAACGTATACAAAGCGAGTGTCCTATGAAAAAAAAAGGGAGACTGATTAATCCATTGCTATGGGGATGGAGGAAGGAATTCTGTTATTTTTCGCTGTGTAAAGTAATTTGATATACTGTCAATATTAACGTAGATTGAAGCAGCAGCAGTTAGATAAACTAACTTAAAATGTTATATCGCTGTACCTGTATTTTTTTTTTTAACGTATCCAGAAACCATGAGTTGTAAACCCCTTGGCTCGGTACTATGGATATTGCAACCCTTCGGCATTGATTCCATTATAGGTACCGTAAATCTGGGAGAAATGTGGCTTTTCTGCCTACCCCCGGGAGTGAACCCGGACCACAAGGAGCTCGTCACCCGGCCGCCGCGAAAGTCAGGTTTAACCAACTTCGCTAGAGAGCCGGGCACCTGTATTTAAAGTGTCGAATGCCTACAAGGATGGTAATGAGAAGAGAGGATGCGATGTTATTGTCTGGAAGAAGTGACAATCTCCAATAAAACTTCCGGAATGGGAAATTCTGGTGTTTTTATGTTTCTATTTTGTTTATATTTTGTTTATGCCTTTTTTCTCGATGCGCTGGTCATGGATGAGGCTTATCAGGTTTGATATTTACTAAAAATCTGAGCAAAAATTGTGTGCAGCTCTTTTTTCGAGATGTTTACAAAATGTGACATTGTCTTTCAACTCCAGACAATGATATCACGACTTGTTATGCTTCGTTTAGGTGATACTTGTCTGAACAGTCATTGACATCCATGGCTTTGTCTCAGAAAAAGAAAAAACAAAAGATAGCGGTGCCCTGATTAATTTTTATTGCTTCTAGTTCGTGTTCCAAACACAAGTCCTAAATCACGTCTAAACCTATTCTATACAAAGTTGAACCTGTACGGAATCAAAGATGTCCAGGTACAACTGTAAAGTAAATTTACCTTTTCCACGCCTTTAAGCGTATAGGGCATATAGAACTAGACCTATTATATACAACAAAATGAAAAAGACAAATGCTTTTCTTTGGCCACGTAATGCCAAGAGAGACATTGTAGAACATCCTGACAACAGGGCAGATCAGTTAAAGGGTAAGGGCAGACCATGAGAGATGATGCTGGACGGGCTGAAACGATAGCATGGAGGGATATCATCAAGAGAACTGTTCCAGGCAACCAAGGATTTTGATCTGTTGGCAGGGCCCATGATGATATATATATTTATATATACACATAAAGGGCTACTCAGTAACTTGACCTTGAATAATAATAAATATGTTATCAATGTTAACTAAATATAACATATTTCAAAGCATGTGACGTGCATAAATATGCTTTAAAAGGTAACTTTAAAAATGTCAGTCCATAAATGCATATAGGTATATTCTCTGTTATTTCTTTTATAAGGTTTAGCAGTTTCCGACTTGGGATGCCTAGTAACATTAATCTGGACAAACATATGCCTGACTCCAGCCTTCAGTGCGTCTGATCTCCCTTTCGAGCCCGAAGAGTTCCAGTATCTAACAGGATCGTGGCCACACGTAACATTCACACGTGTCAGCAGCTGGATCACAGCAATCATCACACTGGAGAGATGTCTGTGTATTACAGCTCCTTTACAGGTATGTACATGTGAATGTTTGGAACCACCTTGGTGTAGCGGCTCTACGCTTCGCCTAAGTATCCGTAGACCATGGGCTCGAATCTGAACAATGCCAGACTATTTTGATTTCCTTAGAAAATAACCCCGGCTCCAAGGTCGACAGCCTTGAGTGTGCACGAGGTAAAGTTCTGAGAAGTAAAGGCAAATGGCGTGATGTTAAGCACAGCACCCACCCAGTGACGTTTCCTATGTAAAATATATTTTGTCATTGTGTTCCCAATACGCGAGAAGCTGTGGAAAATTACCCTTTGTTTTTCCTTTTATATATAAATACATGCAGCTATGGCAGTAAAATCCAGAAGAGAATTGTGTACATTCGTCCAATCCTTCACTTTGGTCTTGTTCTAACTCTTGAGTTCTGCCTTGCAAATTCGTTTTATAGATACGGCCTAATGGCATGCAGACTGTTGGGTAATCGTCTATTATGTAGATGTACTCCGACGTCATCTGTGGCTTAGTCGATGCGAACGCTTTGTAACGCTGGAATGCTGGGTTCGATGCCAGCTGCGGGTCATGCACTTTGCGTTGGTTTCGACAGTGGTGTTAAAAAAGCTGACCGTCCAGAATGCAAAGACAAACTACTGGACGTAAATTTGCCTACAAAAACCACACTGTTGGGGTTGGTTCTGCAACGTAAAGGATACGCAACTAACCTAACTCCGACGTCAGAGAAAATGCGTTAATTAATCGCCTCCTACGACATGTTGGTAAATGACAGTGGGTCCACTTGCCCCTGTAAAATGCGGACCTCGAAACGTGGGCAGGGAATTTTGAAGGTAATGAAACAGTTTCATCTGTCAGTCTTCCATTCTTCACTGTTAGCCTCTTCCATCAATGTCCAAGGTGATTTCAGTATATACTGACACGAAGTTGCTTGAGAAAGTTCACAGAATAGTCAAGTCGTGTCTGAATTAGTAATTATGACAGGGAAAAACACGTATATTCTCGAAAAGAAGTTACAAAGATATGTTTGTATCTTGTGTACGCAGCGACGTTAGAGTTGAAATGATCTTAGTTGAGTTCCGCTTCTTCTTCTTCTTTTGTCAAAATCTGCTTGTGCCGCTAGGCGTCGCAGTCTATCAGATGATCGGCAACCGAGCCCGGGGCGCGCTCATCATTCGTGATGTTATGAAAGTTGAAGTTGACTCCTCAATCCATGTTCTTCTTGGTCTTCCCCTGCCTCTTGGTGTTTCGATTTGTTTGTATGCTTGTTGCTGGCATCGTTGGTTCCATTCTCATTAGGTGACCAAAACCATTTCATTCTTTGCTTCTCAACAAATTTAACGATGGGTATGTTCCAAAGTACTTGTAATCACATCGTTTCTCACTTGATCTCTTCTGGTTTTATTCGCAGCCATTCCAAACATCTCATTTCACAGTTAGTCTTCTTCGTGTTCTTTTGTTAATGTCCAATGACATTGATAACCTAATGTCGGTATAAAGATTGTATTTATAATTTGACTTTTTATCTCAGCTAGGGGACAGCAGGGTGTTTTAAAATTGGGGCAAGCTGGTAGGCGACATTGTTGGCTTGTTGGATTCTTCTGCTTCGATCTCTCGGTCTATTTTACCATTGAATGTAAAGATACTTCCCAAGTATTTAAATTCTTGCACTTGTTTTAGGCTGTGATCTAGAATCTTTATGTCGAATGTTGCACTCTCTGCTATTCTCATGACTTCTGTCTTTTCAGTATTGATCTTCATATGATGCTTGAGGCAACTGTCGTGTAGTAGGTTTATGTGGTCTTGCAGCTGTTTACTATCACTGTGAAATGTTGAGTTCCACAAAGATGTCATATTTTGTGTTTGCTTGACAAGTCACCCTCACAGACAGAGTTCAATTTATAAAAGTTTTGTGTTTTCATTCTTGAAGGCCGAACCGTTGACAAGACAGTGTACGTTTATATCCTTCGTCGTCTAATAAGAGGCATTTAAAAGGAAACGCCCTAAAAACAGAGAATAGGTGATATTGTGCTGCATGACAATGTGTTATCATATCGATGCCACTGGTAAAGCAGTCCTCCATAATGCATAATGTGAGTGCCTTAGAACTTCCTTATATTCTCGCGAACTGGCACCCGCAGATGCATTTTTGTTGTAATTGTTGTTGCAGTTTTTTTTTTTTTTTTCGCCTAAAATTGTCACCTGAAAAGGCAGCGATTCAGTGACGCAAAGAAAGTTATTTCCAATTCTATAAAACACCTGAAAGAAGAGTCAAAGGACAGGTTCTAGTAATGTATCCAACAACTATACGAACGTTGACAAACGTTTTTGGTAACTTTTCAAAGTTGCCTCTTATAATGTTTCATGCTATATTCACATAACATGGTTTATAAATATAATACATTTGTTGTGGGAAAGGTAAGTCCTTGGAAGAGCCGAATGTAAGACGGGCCTACGTGGCCAATTTGTGACCATTTATATTAAAAAAAAACAAAGTATGTTGTTTCATTTGTCTTAGTGTTTCATTTGTACTTTGTTGTTTAAGCAACTTCCGTGTTTAAAGTTCAGTGCCTAGTTAGTTAAAACCTGACCGTTTCTTCTCTTGATATGCCTGATATATTGTCATCTTCCTTGTCTGGTAACTTTCGCCACATGTACGTATTTGCTTCTTCTTCTTTTGTCGCTCTGCTTAGCTACAGAGCTTCGCAGTAATGAGTCATATAAAGTTCTTCGTCTTTTGTTAGTTATGGAGCTTGTATTAATGTCATACGGTGTTTCTATTGTGTCCCGTTCACTACTTCCATCTATGTCATTTCTTGGTCTGCATCATGCCTTGTAGCCTGCTGTTCTCATATAATACGGTCTATCTGCTGTCCGATATTGTTTCATTCTGACCAAACGAGCACATATTTTTGCTGCTTTGATGTTCTATGAAACCATTCCCTGGTACTGTGCCTACTATTGATCTTAGTTCTTCACTTGAGACTTCGTCTCTTCTTGTTCCCCACACACTCTACGAATTTCTAATACATCTTATATCACATGTTGTAATTTTTCTTTTTTATTCGTGTACACATTTTCTTAATATTTCAGGTGAAAAATATTGTCACCCCAAAGAGGATGTCTGTTGTTACCATCTGCGTTTTCGTCATCCTCATCTTCAGTGTCTCACCGGTTTACGTTGTCAACAGCTTAGCAATGAAGTTCTACCCATCCAGAAACAAAAGTCTTATTGGCTTGGTGTTCACGAAAGACAGAGATCATATTGAAAAAGTATCGTACGTAATAAATAACATTGTTGTCTCTTTTAGCGCCTTTGTGGTAATAATTTTCTGCACTACAATCCTAGTGATAAAGTTAAATCGAAAAACCAAATTAAGAAAGACATTGGTTTCTAACGCACAGGGGGATAATATCTCCGGTCGTAATCAGAAGGTGGCAAAGATGGAATCAAATCGTATGCTTTAAATTTCTGGCAATGGTCGTTTAAGCCAAAGCTGACATTGGTTTACTATCAGTGGCATTGGCTTTATTTTGGAGTCTATAAACTCTTCAATGAACATTTTTATTTATTATCACATGAGTAGCAAATACAGAAGAACACTGCAGACTCTATTTTTTCCAAGACTATGAACGGAATATATAGAACAATGATTGAAGGAATCATAAAAGTTCCACTCAAATTGTAAGCCAGACATTGAGAGAGAGAGAGAGAGAGAGAGATAAAAAGAGAGAGAGAGAGAGAGAGAGAGAGAGAGAGAGAGAGAGTTTGCTTGTTAGGAGTATTATCATTTTTGTGTCAGTCTAGTTTGAAAAAAAAAGGTAAAAGAATATTGTATGCACCAGTGAAAACAAATAGCGGGGTAAGAAAGAGTGAAAGATAATCCTAAAGATAAACTCGTATCATCACCATCAGGTGCCTTTGCTGGTTGGCGTGGGCGATCATGCCTCTCCATTATCTGCGATCTCCTGCAGCATGTATCAGTTCGTATGCCGACACACATGAGTAGCAAATACAGAAGCACACTGTCAAGCATCTTCTCTATTTCTTCCTCTATCCCTCCTTCCACAGATCCAGTGGAAACAGCATGTTCTGTTTTGGCTCTCATAACATGGCCGAAAACTCAAATTGTCTCCTTTTGAGTCTCAGAAAAACTCGTATACTATTTTAAAATGTACCTCTGAAATTCCCAGATGCGAAGAGCTAGAGACCAGTGGTGAGTGGGCATATGTTGATAGCTCTGTAGGAGTATTATCGTTTTTGTGATAAGTATATGTTAAAAACGTCAGGTAATGTATATACCAGTGCAAACAATTTAGCGGGGTACGAAGCCGAGTGAAAGAAAATCCAAAGATAAACCAGTATCATCACCATTTCAGGTGCCTTGCAATGCTGGCGTGGGCGATCATGCCTCTCCAGGCCTTAGTCTGCGATCTCCTGCCAGCATCTGGATCAAGTCGTGTGCCGACACACATTGTTTGCCAATGCAACAAGACTGTCAAAGCATCTTCTCTCGTTGTCTTCCTCTATCCCTTCTTCCACAGATCTTTCCAGTCGTCACAGCATGTTCTGTTTTCCCTCCTCTCATAACATGGCCGAAAAATGAGGACTGTCTTCTTTTGATGAATCAAAAACTCGTATACTATTGTAAAATGTACCTCTGAAATTCCCATATGCGAAGTGCTATTACTATACCAGTGGTGCAGTGGGCATATGTTGATAGAATCTGCAGCAAACCATTTTCTCCCTGATAAATTATGTTACCGAAGGAATGACGTCGGGTATTGAATATATATGAGATATTTGAATTTAACGAGTACGAAGCCGAGACGCACAGGAAAAAAGTTGACCAAATAAAACCCGTGCGAATTGGAAAACACGAGAATTTCAGATGTGGGCGCAATGCTAATGTGGGCGACGGAAGATTATAAAAGGCCTTAGAAAGAGCGAGTGGGCAGGCTCGTCTGAGTCAAGGAGCTGTGTGCATGTGGATAATTTGTTACGTTTGGTTGACAGGGTAAATCCATTTAATTGTGAGATTCTAAAGACCTACCTGGCCTTTCAGTTAGAGCAGACGGAAGCCGTTAGCCAGCGCTGATCGTGTGAGTTCGCCCGACATGAAAAATTGTCGTTTTTGTTCAATGTCTGTTGTGTAATAGACTTCTGTGTATGCGTCTGAAGATAGAGTTGATATTTGCAAATTGATTTAATATTATGTAAGTACCTCGATGTATTTTATGTCACCATGTACTGGCTAAAGTAACAACCGGTGAATAATAAAGAGTGACAAAGCATCGTGTCGTTCAATGTTGTCCATTTTTCACCTGTTGAGTTGACTGTCAGTGCACGAGTGAGAACTCTGGATGTTTCATTGTATGCATGATGATAGGCTATCAAAATAATCAAAACACATAGCTGCATATAGGATTTAATGTGAGATTGAAGCAGTTCGCCACTTTGAGACAACAGCAGGCATGAGTAATTGTAAATTATAAAATGTAAGGTCACATGCCAATCAGAGATATGAATGGAGGCGTGTGATATATGCAGCAATAAACCTCAAGGACTCAGAATACAGAAGAAAAAGAAGAGGGTCACATTCTTATATTGGTGTTAATCTGTTCAGGGGTTTTCGAGATATTTGTTAAAATGTGAGGGCACACTTTTTGAAGTACACTGTAATACACCTTTTCATATTCTACCACCCATGACTGTAGATTACGTCAGTCTTCTTTGTGTGGGGTGGCCGGGAAGGGGAATGGGAGCGTTACAAGTGTCATCATTTTAAGGTCCTTGGACGTTTACATATTTCTACATTAGATTTGATGTGACAATTTAAATCGCAAGTTGAGCTGAGTCAAGAATGCCCATCACTGCACTTAGGACATTTCCAGGCGTGCTCCGTCCTCATATTCAGCAGCCAGCGCAGAATTCCAATACTGATGATACTGGTCAAAATCATGTTATATGTCCGTCTTACCTTTCCTCTGAGTGTAGTGAAGCCGCAATTTGAAAGTTGTTGTGAAAGTTAACTTCCCAAGTTCACATATATCGCAGTTTGCAGTGACGATAAAATTAACATTTTACTTCAACAGTAACCTTGATGGGGAAGTGTAATGAAATATAGGCAGAAAGGAGTTAAATGAACAAAGCATACATTTCAGACCACCAACAAGGCATACTAATCCATCACTGTGTGACATGACAGAAATGGGTGATTAGAAACCTGCCCTGGCCAGCGATACAGAACATCTGCACGATGACCAGAGTTGAATTGAGTGCGGTTATCATGGTAAAACCATGACATCTGACAGTGAAGGATGGAAACATATAATACAGAGGGAGGTGAGCAACGCGATGTACGTGTCCAACTGAAGATACGTTTATCCAAACGTGACCACCAGAGACTGATGACAGGGAGTGATTGAGAAGCACGCGAGAAAGGAGGGCACCGCTTAAGAGAACAGTTAGAACGGGACCGCTTGAGGAACAGTTAGGACTGGACCGCTTGGGAGACGAGTTAGGAAAATTAGAGCTGTACTCCGTTTTAGAAGATATATATTAAACTTGGAGTTTAGCTAAGAGAGTGATTAAGGAAGTCATAGAGAGACATACGAATAGCCAGTAATAAGATAATGAAGTGTTCCTATACTATTGGTTATTGAAATGATGCATTCTGTTTGACTTGACAATATTGTGAATAAACCAGCTCCTGTGTAATTGTTACATCACTCGCCTTGTTCTTGAGTACGATTGAAGAGAGCTACATCTATATCCATAAAACACTTGGTCCGAACTAGGCACATCTATTTCTTGGGGGATGTGAAGACACGACTGTGTCACAGAAGCTGGTATGGCAAGTTCATATAATTTAACGTTGATATTAATTATGTATATAAAATTAACTTTGCACGCTCACTTAATTCAAGAATGACATTGATGTGAAATTTAGCATTGCAAGCTCACATTGTTTATCGGTGACACACATGTGCAAATAAACATATCAAGGGCAATAACTCATAATTTACCATTGATATTGATTTAAAAGTTATACTGTTCAACACTGGTTTCTATTGTTTAAAGATACATTTTATCGCTATCTTGTTAAACAAAAGTGTTACAGTAAAACGGATGTAGAAATTACAATCTTCAATGCATGTCCATATAATTTATATTAAAAGTAAAGTTAAAGCAATGACAACGCGAACATGCAATGTGAACGTACGAACATTAATTGGAAGACTCAAGTCTACACATAATCAATGCATGCAGGCCAACCAAGGGTGCCTTACCTCTTATCATTTGTTAACCTGTGACCACTACAGCACAAAGCAGGAAACAACAAATATGGGGTGGGGGTGAGGGGAGTAGGGGAGAAAAAAGGACCCTTTTACCCCAGAGACACAGCAGGTATCACACCTGTACAGAAGAATCCCCAGTCACCTTGACCTCTCAGGATATTTCCTGGTTCCATGTTTAGGCCATGTTAACCTATGAGCCAGTGTCAGTTAGACAATGTCAGTTCTGTTCCGATTTGTACCCAAGACCATGTGATAGGTTTTCCCTGACTAACTGACTTTCTATCCCACTAGGACGTCACACAAGCGATAAACACCCGATGACACAAAGTGCCATGAGGATCACCGTGGAGAGGTCCCAGAAACCGCGTTCAGACAATTGGCCATATTGATGGCCTGCCTATATTGCGGCCCCTGGCAAAAGCCAGAGTGGGGATTCAAAAAACAAAAAATTAAGTCCTAAAAAAGACATATTTAATAATAAGGTTTTCCCTTTACAACAGTTCTTTATCACCCAATTAATTGTTGCGCAAAAAACAGAGGAGACGCTACGCATGCCTGTTATATCCTATTTATTTCACTGGAAATACATTGTCTTATATATATTGCCATATATATATATAGGGCTCTCCGTGCCCGTATGCATTGCCGTGATAGTCATAAGGAGAACTGACATAATTTAGCGATGCAAATTGTGACTGATCTGTGTCTGTTTGAAAGAATGTGTAGTGATTGTCGAATATAAAATACTTTGTTGTTAATAAATATGACACATTGTATTTACTTGTCAAACCGTTAACTTCCATTTATGTGCCTGTTATGTCTGTTTTTTAAAAGTTAATGTCTTTTTTTATTTTTAAAAGAAAACAATTCTCTACTTTTTTTAAAACTCAACTAATAGTATATTCGAAATAATTTCTTATCCACCAGTATGCAAAAAAAGGAGGAAATCATTACCTATTTCTTCTCTGTTTCAAGCTGTCGTAATTTCAGCTAACTCGTAGATGGTCGGTCATTATCATAATGTAGCAGGTCCTTTGCAGAACGTCGCTCTCATCACAGTCTGCCTGAAAGAAACTCGGTCTCTCGCCAGTTCTCCCGCCTCATGCACGTTCACACATAAGGAGTCACTTACA